GGGAAATTGTTTTAAGGAGCTAGAGCTAATGATGAAGACACAATTTCAGTGCCTTACAATTTTGTCTTTAGTCAGCCATAGTAGTAAATTAATCTGATGACCCTGTTTTGACACTGATTAGATACGCCAACCAAAGGGCAGCAGGCCACTGTTGCTGACAATCGGGGTACCAGACACAGTCCACACTGGTGCCTATCTCAATATGGCAACCAAATTGAAAGCTTAAAGAATATTCTCCTCTAAATACATTCTGATTCATAAAATACATGTCTCTCCTAACAGGTAAAACGTGTAAGTGCATTCTGCATGAAATGTTTATGGACCGCGATCATTCTCATTCTACGTATTCTATGTAAATATGAGACTGCACAGGGCATGCATAGCAATGTAAGACCAGTCTCCATAACTCAGGCATGGATGTGCATTCATCTATTTGTAGAGTATAAATACTGATCTTTGAATTACATATTCTGAACATAGCGTGGGTGCTCTTTTCTCTTTAAACTGATTCAGTACCAACAACAAAAAAACATGTAGGCTTGATCAGTGCATCTAAATAAGTCTGCCCTTTAATAAAAAAAATGAAGTGAATAATTTGTTCCTTTCAAAAACTGTTACTTATTAAAGAAATACTTGAATGGTTAACCCGCTCTTCAAAAATAATTAGGACTTCTCTTCACCAGGCAGGGAAGTCACTGACAATCTTGGAAATTAAGACACCTGTGTCAAATTACTTCTGTAATAAAATTTGCAATCAAACCAAAATTACAATGAACATGTGTTTCTCTGGTTATTGGCTTGCATTCCCTAGCACTTACCTCCAAAATGTGATGCTATTTTGAGCAAAACAATTTCTAAATCATTTCTTAGACTAGATAACTTTTTATATGCTTTCTTCCCCCGTCACCCCTGAAAAAAAAACCATTAAATACATTTTCAAAGTAGAAGAGACTTAGTGTGAGAGCTCACCAGATTTAATCTGTTGCTACATTTGCTACCAAACAAGCCATAATTATTGCTATTGTTGTTAGTGTTATTATATTAGATCATAGATATTTGAGCTGTAAGAAACTTTAAAAGATACTTCATAGTCTGCTAAACCAAAAATGCCCTTCTTCAACCAAACATTTAATGTCAAATTAGGTAAGTGATTTGCCCAGGGTTATTTATAGCTATAAAAAGCATATGGAGGGGCACCTGGGTGGCTCAGTCGGCTAAGCATCCTACTCTTGGTTTGGTTCTGGCTCAGGTCATGATCTCAGAGTCATGAGACCGAGCCCCACATAGGACTTCGCAGTCATGCCTGGGTGGCTCGGTCAGTTACGCATCTGCCTTCAGCTCAGGTCATGATCCCAAGGTCCTGGGATCGAGTCTCACATCAGGCTCCCTACTCAGCGAGGAGTCTGCTTCTCCCTCTCTCTCTGCCCCTCCTCTCTGCTCCTGCTCTCTCTCTCTCACTCTCAAATAAAATAAATAAAATAAAATAATAAATAAAATAAAATAAATAAAATAAAATAAAATAAAATAGGACTTCACAGTCAGGAGGAGTCTGTTTGTCCCTCTCTCTTTGCTCCTCCCCCTGCTTGTGTGCTCTCTCTCTAAAATAAATAAATAAAATCTTCTTTAAAAAAGCATATGGATTTTTGACCCCCACCCTTATTGGAAGGATTGTTCTAGAGTCAGCCCTTAGTCTTCAAGGTCTAGTATTTTGCTGAATAATTTCTCGATCAGAAGTTTCTCCTCATGACACAGATTCCCCTTCCTGGTTAAAACGTTCCATCTGCCTGAGTAGTTTTACCTAGAAAGTTGACCTTAGAAGCTACTGGTGGATAAAGGGAATAACAGAAGGAGGTATTGCACATTATCTTTTTAGTTGGAGGTTTTCCTTTGTAGGTCTATTCTAGCACAGCTGAGGGGTCTTAAACCTGAGAGTCAGAAGAGGAAGACATGGTGTAATTAGAGCACTAGAGTCTGACCACAGACATGCACAGGCACACACACCTGCTAAATCAAAAGTCTACACTAATGGTCTCGATGCACATTTTAGATTAAGCAATTTCAGGTTTTTCCCTGTCTCATGAGGAAGGTAAGACTACATAACTTCTAAGACTGCTTCCAGGCTTATGACTCAAGTCTTAAACCACAAACAGTTGGTCTTCTGACCTTATATTTCACTATGCTGTTCAGTTTGAGCCCACCATTAAGGCCGTGTAACTGGGCTGGTATTTGCTTGTTCATAATTCAAGTAAATTCCTACCCACCCTCAATCCACCTACCTACTTCATCAATTTTTATAATTTACAAAGTCTTTGGTGGCATTGAGTTTATAAACAAAGAGTGCATAATGCAGTTTAACTGTTTTCTATAGCAATACTTTTTCCACTCCAGCATAATGACTTTTATTTTTCGTATCATATTATTCCTGACCAAAATAACAGTAAAAACCATAGATCTTTGAACATGTGGTATATTAAATGTACTTAATAAACTATAAATCTAAAAATAATTTCTACTTCCATTCATATGACTAATCTCACATGAAATTAAGTGTTTGGGTTGAGGATGTGTGGTTGTTGTGTGTTTGTGTCATTAGGGAAAACGGATTCGAGGTGGTGGATATAAAACAGGAGAGAGCAAGGCCAACTACCCATAGCACCTGGAATGTAGTAAGAACTCCATAATTATTTATTGATGAATGAATGAATGAATGAACAAACAGACCACTGAAAGGCTGACTCCAGATTAAATATTTAGTCCCTTTCCATCTGCCATAATTTAAAATTGAAATTACAGAAGATCTATATTCTGGAGAGACTTTGTTTTTTCTTAGAAATCGCCCTCATGTAACACAGTGTTGGGCATTCTGTCTGGTGGTCAATAAGTACTGAAGAATAGCAGTAATAAGAGGAATAGCAACAGCAGTGCTAGACACTATACTAAACACTTGAATTATTTTATGTCATCTGTCCCTCATATAACACTGTAAAGTTGGCACAGCATGTTGCACCCACAATACAGATGAATGAAATGGTGGGCACGTTTAAATAATTGGCCAGTTTCACAAAACCAGGGAATTATAGAACCAGAACTCAAACCAAGGTGTGTCTTGCCCAAAGTCCTTGCTTTAAAAAATGAGTAAGTGCATGACAAATTGATTCCAACCATACTCTGTTTTTATATTGAACAACACGGAAACGGCTGGGTAGAGAAAGTTTAATTTAGTCAGTGGCCAACTCTATAAGGTCTTGCTTGTACCAAATGCTCAAAGAAGCCCAAAGTATCACAATGGCCTCAGAGAGTAACAAGAAATTCTGAGAAAATGAATCAGCAGGCAAAGCTACTATCATCAGATGGAAGAAAGTTTAAGAGAAACACACAGGCATCAGGGCACCAATATCTCCATCTGGTTAATAGTCCCCAGTAGAAGGCAGTATACCCAAGTCATTCATTTTTTAATAATTACATTAAAATTCTTTAAGTGGAACACTATGTTGAACATCAGCTTATCTTCCTTTAACAAAGATTCTTGGCATTCAGCAACAACTTAGAGCCATCACGTTGCTCAATTACACTGTATTGCAGATGTACATATGAGGCAGTTAAGACAGGTTCCTGAAGAGAATGCTGGATAAGTCAGCTCTTATCAGGGAAGTTTTTTCTTTCTCTTTTTCTTTCTTCCCTTTCTTCCTTTTCTTTCTTTCTTCCTTCCTCCCTTTCTTTCTCTCTCTCTCTTTCCCTCCCCTTCCCTCCCTCCTGATTTAATTTCTTTTTCAATCTCTTCATATGTTAAATCATAATTACAAACTATTTTTGGCAATTTATACATTTCAAAGCCAATATTTTTACAAAGATGGTATATTTCACAAAGTACCACATTGGAGCAATTGATACTATCATTTGTATACTTAGTCACCGTGATTAGTTGACTAAATAACTCTGAAAGAGAGCTATTATTGTTAATCCCATTTTGTACATGAGGACATAAATTCAACGTGTTTAAGGGCTTGTAAATAACAAAAGTGGGGCAAGAACTGAAGTGTAAATACGTATTGTTTAACAACAGGGTGTGACTTCATTATATCAATTGATTTGGGGACCAGCTTAATCCTATCTTTTATAATCCTGAGCAATCTATGGGTGTCCAGTCTTTGAGGAAGCTAGGTGGGTGGGTGTAGCAGCATGCCAAATGCATTTGTTCCTGGAAGACATTTTGGGGAGTTTTAAAAGTCAGCAGCCTTTCTCTGTCTTCCAATATTAGCACCTACTAAAGAGCAGTAAAACTTCTGGGTACTGAAATAATCCCCAGAGAAGAATTAAGAATTAAGCCTACTGCTAACTTATATATATATATATATGTATATATATGTGTGTGTGTGTGTATATATGTGTGTGTGTGTGTGTATACACACACACACACACACATATATATTAAACTCTTTAATGTAAAGGACACAATTTAAAGATCATTGCAAGGGCAATTTGGCAATGTTCTTTAGACAAGGGGAAACTGGGAATATAAAAAGTAAAAGGAAAGAAAGGAACAGAAGAAAAGCATTTAGAGGCTTACCTCATTCTCTTTTGATCAAATCCTCACTGTCTCTCAAATCCTCCCTCTCTACCCTCATTACAGTTGAGCTATCACCTCCATATGGGGACTTCAGACTCCACTCCCTCATCTTCAATGTACAATGGAAGTCAAATGTCCTCTGCATTTATTAACTGACAAACATAGTAAGTCTCTAAGTAGCCATGGAGACTAAAGATCTCCTTGGCATTCTCGATGTATATATTTTACATTTCAGCTTCCCAAAAATATCTCGCATGATATGTGAACCACAGAATTACTGTGCCATTTGCAAACTGTCTGGTTATGCATTTTTTTTTATTCCAACCAATGCTAATGTGTCTTAAGATACCACATATGACTACCCTCTTAAGGCATTTGAATGTGAAATTATCATCCACAATACCAACATAAGAGAGGAATAAAGACAAATTACCTGGGGTTAAGAGGATGACTGACATAGTGATGAGTGAGCATACAACTAAAATCACCAGCAGGGCAATAGCAATCCCCTTCCAGTTTCTCTGTGGAGGGCTGTTACTTCCCAGTTCCTACCGAGATAGAAAAAATAAAAAAGGTTCATAATTACACATGCTCCAAAAGAAATGTATTCATAAAGGATGATTCAGTGTATGGCACAATCACAGTTTGAAAGCTAATTAGGATCGTTTTCCTCTTCGGTAGCTGACTTAATTATTCAAAGGTGCATATATTATAAATGGCTATTTTTTGGGGGGTAATCTTATGTCTCTAAGAGATAAACCAACAGAGCTTTATGCCTGCTGTCCAAACTGTAGACGGCATTAAAATGCATTGATTATAAACACTAGGACAATAGCCAAAATATTCTGCAACATAATTATGGAAATAAAGTGTGCCCACTTACATTTTTTCTTACTACAATGGAACCTACAATAAAGATTTAGATACCAATATTTCCCAAGCACTGTGGACTACTTTTCTAACTGGATAGTGGGGGGAAAGATTTGAGATGGGAAAATCATTCAAAATGCCCCAAGCTGCAGAGCAGGGCACATCTGTCAGCACAACAGGTCCTTTTCAAACAGCTCCCCCACCACTCATAAAAATCAACAGGATATAGTAACTAAATTAAATGAGTGCTTCTATATCAATGGTTGAGAGCATCCTCTCCCTAGGCAGCATGCCTAATATTGGCAAGAAGATAAGATTGATGGGGGAGGAGAGACTTGAACATCTCTCACAATACATACAGTAAAGCTTTTCATTTTCAGATGATCTGTGTTCTACCCTGTTGACTGGAAATGTGTGAGCATAATTCACCAAAGCAAAGCAAACACCACACTGAATTAAAATGAATGCCACATTTTCTTTGCAATGAAGTTTATAAAACACTGAATCTCTCATTTCTTTCTTCCCATCCCATCTCCCAGCTTCTTTTCCTCCCTCCCAACAAAGCCTTTTCTATTCAAAACTAGCTAAGTGATTTGAAGACAAATGAAACAAAACATAGTTATCCAGCTCACTATGTTTGTACAAATCACTCAACAAGAGCAGTCCTGCTTTAAACAAAGATAAATAGAACAGCAAGCATTTAATAAATTATAAATTGGTTCCTGTGACTCACAGATTAAAACCGTGAGCAAATTTTCATATAGTGATGTTGGCATTCAATTCTGCCATAAACACTTTGGACATAAAGAACTAGACCCTAAATAAATGCAAGAAGAGAACGTGCATGGGAGGTATTTTGTTCTTGTTTTTTCCCTCTCCTCTGAGATCAACTGCTTTGTCTTTCAGTCTGATGGACCAAATCCTGCAGTGGTCAATTCCACTCTTTTTAACACGACTCACTTCATATCTTTTCTCCACACTTATTAATGCTCGTTTTCCAACACCTCTATTTCTATTGCATTTTGGTTACAATCTCCATACTCGATGTGCACAAGTCCACTTTTACAGAGATATTTACAGTTTATTACTATAAATGTATTTTCTTTTCCTTATGATTTTCTTAACATTTTCTTTTCTCAAGCTTACTTTATTGTTAAGAACACAGTATATAATACACATAACAAAATATGTATCAATTAACTCTTTATTGTTACTGGTAAGGTTTCTGGTCAACAATAGGCTATAAGTAGTTATGTTTTGGGGAATCAAAAATTATACATGGGCTTGTAACTATGCTGGGATTGGTGCGCCTAATTGGTGCCCCATTGTTCAAGGGTCAAATATCTAAGCTAATAATAACTGACATCTCACTCCAATAAAAGAATCAAGAGTAAATTATAATTTTAAATCTACTGATTCTGATCTTGATTCCCTGTCACTTGATATGCAGCCTCACCTTAGCAGACTCTAAACCTAGGGCGAGTGATGGACCAGTAAGGCCAAAGACAAAACCCAGAGACAGTGACAGAGACATAGGTTTATCGGAAAAACTTACAGGGAATCCAGGAATGGCCAACTGGACAAGTATCCACTGCTGGGATCTACATGCAGCAAGTTTTTATACCACAGCAACTAACCTTAGCAACTATCTGTTGCCTCTCCTTCCCTGCATGGCCAGAGCCCTAGGGAGATCAAGGCCTGACATGTGGACACTGTTACAAAGGAGATGCTCCAGGCTGGCCAGCCCCAGAGCCTCTGACCTTGAACACTGAACAATACATTCTTCTGTACATTCTGCTTGATGGGAATACAGGAGGAGGATAGGATTTCTATATTCTCAGTGATTAACAGGGGCATTCAGGGTATGCTTTCACAAATTAGTTATCCAGCATGTACCATACACTTGGACACAAGGCAAATTATTAAAGAAATGATTTGAGTGTACTTTCCAGTTTTTGAATAGGATGTAGCCATGTAATATCTACCAAATGTTGTCTAACAGTAATAATACCGTAGATATCTTACTATGTATTTGGTATTATACTGAATACTCTATATTCATAATCTCTCGTAATCCTCATTAAAGTCAGGTGAGATTACTTTTATTTCGATAGATTTGCAGATGACAAAAATGGGATTTAGAGAGATTAATTAAAAATCCACTTACTGTTAATAAGTGGGAGATCTCTGGGGCCAGTCCATAAACTCTGGCTCTTAACCACTTTAATATGGTGTCCTAAAGATAAATATGTCAAGAATAAATGTATGAATCGATAAATAAATCAATGAATCGAAGAATGATTTGGACCCTGACATAATAATAGTTGTACTTTATTACCTTTCATTTGGCAAAATTCATGATTAAAGAAAAGCTATCCTGAATTCTGTAATGTTTTCAAATAAATTTATATTTCCCCACTCATGGCAGACTGGGAAAATACACCATTTTTAAAATGGTAAAACACATTAGAGTTAAAAAAATTTTTCTGTTCATGAAGTGATGCACCTAAGAATGTGCAGCTCCTTTAAGATGACTCATCAATGCCCAAAGCATCTACAAATCTGTTTAGGAACTGTAGACTTAATGAGCTTGTAATATAATTCCCCCCTTTTTATCCACCTTAGATTCTATTACCATGGCAATATTTCTAAAGCATAGTTTCACTTCTGTCACTTTATTCCACAAAGTCCTTTAATGTCCCTATACTAACTAAAGAATCAAATGCAAATGAGATAATTTAGCATAACAATTGTCTACAGCCAAGCTCCAGTTTCCTCATCCAGCTTGATCCCTTTTGAAAAAGAACACAACCCCAAACCGCTCTGATTACCATTTGGCACATATGCCTCAGATGCTTCAACCTTCAAATAACCTTCTTTCCTAATTCTTCCCCATCCAATCCCTTTAACATGCCTCCACTTATAGGAACTATCAATCATTCAACATCCTGCTCTAATGGCTCTCCTCTTGGGAATTTCACCTAATTATGCAAGCCAAATACGATTTCCCTTCCTCTGAAAAAAAAAAAATGCCTAAAATACATTGTACCAATAGGCTGAATCCACTTCAACTACTTAAGAGTTGTGAGATTGCAAAGATGTATTTTTCTGAGCCTCAGATTTTTTGTTTTATCTGAACAAATGGAATAATAATGTAATTATTTTTAAGTGTAAGTATTAAAACTAATTATTCAGACAAAACTTTTAGGTACAATAAAGTTCACATTAAATGAACTGCTTGGAATGTTCTTCCTCAACACACTTAATATAGATCACTCTCTACATTCAAGTCTCATCTCAAATGCTCCTCCCTGACCACCCTCTCTGAAATAACATTTCATATCCCTTCTATTCTCTCACATCCCTTTCTTTTTCTTCATAGCATTATCATTTTAGGTATATCACATGTCATATTTAATCATTTATCTATAATAACATATTAAGCTAGTTAAGAATATATATTAAGGTGTTTAAATGTTCATTCTATCCTCAGCTCTCCAGAATAGAAACTTCATGGTGTCATTAATGTAGTTCATCTTGTTCTCTGCATTGTAAATGGTGTTTGGCACATACTACATATGCAGTAGATAATTTTAAAATGAATGAATGAATTATAGTGTTAGGAGTTAGTTGGACAGTAATCAAGGCCAGGGTCCCCAACAAGAAAATATGGAGTCAGGACAGCTAAAATAAACTGCACCGACATCCTGTTTTGCAGCTTAGACAGGACCACGCTAGTATTCTGCTCTGCAGCCTTTACAGAAATGACTTCTGCAAAACATCTAAACTAAGAAAATTAACTACAAAACATTTGTCAATATCACGGGCAAGGGGTAGTTAAGACCTAAGCTCCCAGATGTCAGCAAAAAAAGGACCATCAGCACATGGACATTAACCTAATAGGTAGACAGATATGTGACCAAAGCCCTGATTGGCACGACTCAGCATATCCTGATTGCTTAAGATAGTTTTCCAAAAGAGCTCATAAAAACCCCTACACTTTGAAACTCCAGGGGCAACCCACTTGGGTCCCCCTCCCTCTCCAGGAGCCTTGTAGTCTTACTCAATAAACTGATTTGATGCCCACCACTCTTCCTCTGGTCTACCTCTTCATTCTTCGAAGCGGCATGACCAAGAACTGTGGGCACTAAGGGGACACAAAATCCTGTAACAATAGCAGCTATATGATAAAGATAATGATGATCGTGGTAGTGGTTCTGATGATAATGCTTAAAGCCATATATAAAAAGCCATCATATCCCTGTCAAAGTTACTATCTGTTTAAAGTAAGAATGACATCTTAGACAACTTTACTCAGACCACTTAACAATCTGATTCTTTTAATACGTGCTTAGAAAATAATTGCCCAATTAAGTAGTATAAATGGAAACAAACCCAAAAGAGGACAGAAATATAGTACCCTTAGTCAAATACACATTAATAGCAAACTTTTAAAATGTACCTACTTGCTAAAGATCAATTTGACTGCAATTAATTTTAGGCTCATTTATCTGATGCTAGCTTTCCAAAATGAAGTTGCCAATCTTCAAGTTAACAACCTCTTCAACAAACTTGATAATTTCTATTGCTGTGGGAAGTGGTTCTAATTGACTTTGCTTTTCAATGACTTCCTTCAAGCCACTACCTGAAACCAATCAAGTGTGCATGCCAGGCCCAC